TCATTATTTTAAAGTTGAATTAAGGAGCAGTGAAAATTTTCGACTCTGTATGCAAGAAAATAGAATATTGCGGATGAAACTAGTTTCCACTTATACTTCTAACATGATGAGATCCTGAGCAAAGATAGTTGTACAAATTGATGACACATCGACGGTTATTAGGAACTATGATTCAAATTCTTGAAAAAATTCAATACTTTATTAAGGCGGTTTAGAAGTTAAACAATACTGAAATTCGATTTCAGTAACCAAACTTTTTTACTGACCAAAAAAGTAGATTATGTATATAGTACCATATTTCTTTACTTTAAATGATCTTTGCTATAGTTTTGATTCTAGTTAAGTTCCAAAAACCTCTATTAGCCAATTAAAAGCAATATTACCTGTCTAACTTGACGTGGCCAGTAGAACAGCATACAGGCATACGGGTTCATTTCTAACTCTTTTCCCTTCCTGCTGTTGTAATTCGTAAAAAACGAAAACCCGCGCCCTGCATAGGACTTCAATAATACAATCCTCGATGATGGCCTATTATCTCTAAAAAAAGCAATATGGAAGATTTGTTCTCATCACAACTCTAAAAAGACAAATGGGCAAAAATAATCCAACTAACCTTCCCACGGTGGAAAAACCGCATGTGTTCAATTCTTCAAACGTCAAATCCTTCAGTTCTGCTATTTTCTTGAACCTGCAATACTTTAAAAAATTCAAATTCAATTTGTGAAGAAGTATATGGATCCTATTAAAAGTTAACTTTTTACGACTAAAATATGAGAATTTATGGAAACTTTGGTAATAAATTAAAAAAATTCACTAGTTTTTTTTGAGAAATAAACCATGGAAAAGCTCTGGAGCCATTATAGATAAAATCTTAAACAGTTTTCTCTAAGAAGTGAGCGAGAAATTATACTCAATGCATTAAATAACATTAATATTCTAACAGACATGTTGAATAAGATTTGTCTGTTCATTGTGCTCACCAAATATCAAAAAGCTTATGTGGATCTGTAGTTGGAAGATTCTCTTCTAATACTTCCGGTTCCTCTTTGTTCAGGTACGGTTTTCTCCAGCCTTAAAATAAATGAATTAAAACAGATCCTCGTGAGCTTTCGGCAAACCATACCATGTAAATCTATAGGAGCGTCACCCATAGCTAAACGAACACACGTTGAAAAGGCTCGAGAACGTAAAAGTCCTTGCTAAAATAGAAGTGTTATGAAATTTATCCAAAAACCTTAACGAATCATCAAGAAATCTGAATTTGATGGAAAAATGGTAGAAAAGTCAGTAAGGAGTAGCAGCAGCCTACCATATAGCAAGATGGGAAAAATGAAAATGATTTTGACAACCAAGGAGTTATCAACTCATGTTCTCATACTTGTTAAAAATTGATAGCTGACAGAGAATAGCTATACTTTTCAAAACGCAAATACGCTCAAATCTGGGCTAACATTAAAAAAAAAAACTTAATTGCGGGGAAATATGAGGTTACACCCTTAGGAATAGCAACAGAAATTTCAAT